AGATGGTTGTTTGGCTCCCTGCATAATGTAAGAAGATTGAAATTCAAGGTTGTATCATAAACGAGAAAGCAAGAATAGACAATTCACAATAAAGTACGATGATGAATACAAGAAAAATGAGGGACGTCGAATCAGGGATCAAAATTTCAAGAAGAGCTTATATATATTGGCAATATAAACTAGAATTACTTTATGATTTACCTCTTAATAGTTTTTGGATATACAAACTGATGTTTAGTAGAAAATTTTAGCATTTCATAATAAGTTTAAATTGCAAGTACATTTTGTTTTGTGTCTTTTTCATTGTTGGTTCTCTTTTATTTTTTCATTTAATTATTTTCGGCATTTACACCAAAATTAATAATAATAATAATAATGATGATATTATTAGTAATAATAATAATAATAATTGTATTTTTTATTAAAATTAAAAATATGAAGAATAAAACAAATAAATTTGTATTCCAAAGATAGTAAATGTCATTATAAATATATTATAAACATACTTAAAAGTGTCTTAATAGTTCAAAGACCTATTGCCACATTGAAATGTAAGACACTTGTTCAAGTGTCTCTATAGCCAAAGCGTATCAATAAAGTAAGATAGAATAAATTTTTAAGTGTCTTTAAATGGGGTTTTATAGTGACAGTTTTGACTTGATCTTGTGGTCACGAGCTAGCCCTTTCCTTCAACAATGAAGAATCCTTGTTTACTGAGCATAGCATTACCAATTTGTTTTTTTTTTATTATTATAATACTGAAAAATTAAATTTTAATAAAAATTTTAAAAAAAGAAATTTTTTTCGGGTCAAACTAGTGGGCCTCTGTTTAGTAGAAAATTAATAAAAAATTAAAGATTAACGAAAAAAAATGTTGAATGTTACTCGACCTAAATTCTGTTCAATTAATTAAAATTGGTGAAAAAATAGTTTAGGGACTAATTTTGTTGAGGAAAAATTTTCGGTGACAGGGTCTCGCTTCCCCCAAATTACTAGAAATCGTTGGTGATAGCAATCTCGTAGACGAAGCAAATTTCGTTAATGTAACCATCAACAAGAAAGTACAAAGATAATTTGTCTATCCCGTGAAACTCAAAATAGTGCAGAAAATTCACAGTAAGACGATCGTTTATCTAAGTGATTCTATCCCTTAACTCAAACCAAGCAAAGAACACATTATCCATGAAAGATTCGAATTAAACAACAACCCACGCTAAGAATAGCAAGGACACCATTCAATATACTCGATCAGTCATCATTCAAGAGACTCAAGAAAGGTAGGAGCAAACAATGCTCAACTATGAAGGAATACTATTGATTAGTAATCTTCATAACCAACCAAAGATATGCAACACATACACTATCTCAAAATACTTATTGGTCACAACTCATCCAACAAAAGTAGGACAAACCCCACAATGGAACTCATGAACACACTCATCATGAAATTCGAACACCAAGCCAAAAGAAAGGCTCATCAATCGAACTACTAGAAGTAGTATGAAAATAAGAAGTTTTGTTTTAAAACAATTCTATCAAGAAGCATACTTGAAAAAGAACGGTTTCTGCAAGATCAAAAGATCCAAGACAAGATGAAAACCCTCTTGGTTAAATCATACTTGACACGAAAAATGGACACTCCATTTAACAAAAATTCCTCACAGGAAAAACTCTCAAAAGAGACAACAAAAATGACCACTCAAGGGTGCTTTGAAATTTCGGCCAATCCCCCTATTTATAGGCTTTAGAATTTCGGCCAGCACCAATAGAAGAAGATCAATTAGGACTCTCTAATCTTATCTCACAAGGAGTAGAAGTAGAAGAGTATTTGATCTCTTTGACTCTATCTAAAATCTAGGAAACCTTATCTAAATGACTTATCCTCAAGTAGGATAATATCTAGAAGGAATCTAAGACTCCTAATCAAAACACTCTAGTTTTATTCAGCCCACATGGCTTATCTAACTAGATAAAACTCAAAAATAACTCCTAGACTTAGACTAACTCTAATTCTCGAAAATCAGATCCCAAATTGTTGAAGTAAAATGTCTTGAACGCCCTTCCAAAAGTGGAATATTGGTCTTGCGCCCCTTAAGTTGTAGAAAACTCCAATTTACTCCAAAACTTGTAGAATTCTGTTTATTGACTCCAAAAGATTGGAAAAACACTTGAAACAATTAAGATAGTTTGCAACCTATCCAATTGTGTAGCAATGGACGCAATCTTGAACACATTGATCAAATAGGTCGTCCGTTCAAGAACCTAATTGACTCTTCTCACTAGCGTGATCAATGATCTTCATGGAGCACTCAGAGTCAAACTCTCTTGATACTCTTCAGCACTTATTTCCATGAGGTCATCATCTCCCTTGGTTTGAACCCCAAAGTTAATGACATTCTCATCATCTTGATCATAGCTCTCTTGAACCAACTCCCTATCACATAGGTAGTCAAGATCCATCCTTTCTTCCTTGATTGGCCTGCAAAGTAAACTTGGTATTCCAAAACTAGAATGAAGGACTAGTTCATTCCCCTCGCTAGGAGAATCAACATGGAAGGCTACATGATTCTCATCAGTTGGTTTCAAAAATGAAAGACCGGAAAGTAAAGGTTTTGGTTTGCGGTTTGAGGGTCGGAAACCGATAATGAACCGGATCAAACTTTTAATATTGTTATAGTTATAGATATTTAATATTTGTACATATATTTAAATTTACTTTCAATGACCACAACTTCAAAATAGTTGTAGAGTAATTTATCCATTTCCTTGCTACTCCAAGCTAGAAAGACAAGAAAAGGTAAATTGAAATTCAGTCAGATTTTCCCACGCGGTAAGGTCAAAATTTTAGGAAAAAAATTTGTGAATAAAGTCACTTCTAATAGAAAAAATATATAAAATATCGTAAAACCTTAGATTAAATATAACATTTATTTATTTATTTTCTTTCAAAAACATACATGTATAGTGCACACTAAAGACTCTTGAAATTGACATATCTTGAGAATCCAAAGTTTTATTAATTTATAAAAATTATTAATTTATTGATAGATAAATTAATAATGTCTATTTAAAGGGTCATTTTTTATTCTCTTAGGAAAGAATATTACTCAATTTGAGAAAATAACTCCAAAACTTTGAATACAATCATAAAAATCAAGGATGAGATATTCTTTCATATTTAAATTTCAATTAAAAAATTCTCATAGCCTCCTGCTTTATGAAATATTCTTTTATTTTTCCTTCAATATTTTATGTCCATACTAATGCTAAACACCCATTGTGCGTTGGCGACACATTCTATAAAGAATCTTTTGTGTTAATTTCAATTTTTGGAGAAGTTTTAATGTTAATTTGATGGTTTGCAATTTTGTGTCAAAGGTTAAGTAATGGAAATCGTTAACTACAAATTTAATTTATGATATTGAGCATACCTATAATAACTTAGGAATAAATTTATATTTATTATTTTAAAAGTTTTTTCCTTTTTTGCGAGGGACCAAAAAATTTAATTATTTAGTAAACTTTATTAATTTGCGAATTAGAGATTTTTTTTTCTGAAAGAAGATTGTTTAAATAGATCTTCAATTCAGCCATATATGAATTGCTAAAATTAGAGAGTTTTATTACTACATCTATTTATTACAAAAAATTGGAGTCTTTTTTTTTTTTTTTTGTGCTGACGTGATGCAGCTGTTGTACTGAAAGTTTATTCGACCTTGATACATTAGGTGGTGTTTGGAAAACATTTTGTTTTAGTTTTTTATTTAGATTTGGGAAGTGATTTAAAATGTAGTTTAGTTTTTGATTTGGATAGTATTATGTATAGTGACTATTTATGAAATTAAAATAGTTTAGCGACCAAACTGAAAACTTTACAATAGTTTACTGACAATCGGAACTAATTTTTCGTTCATCACCGGCCGTCACCGTCGTCGCCGGCAGGAATCCTGCCGGCCGTTCGCTGGCTGGCAGTGGCGCCGGTGGTGGAGGTGGTACAAATGTTTGTAAAAGTATGTTTAAAATATATTTTAAAAGGTAAATTAAATTGATATTTAGATAGTATATTAGATTTTATGTTTAAGAGGTAAAATGAGACAAAATACAAATGAAAAGGACAAACAAACAAGGCCTTAGCAATTCAAAACTAAATTTAGATTTTTCATTTTACTCAAAGGAAACTAGTACATGCATCTCTTTGGCGCAAGTGTTCTTTTAGAAAGTAAACAAAATTCTTTAAATTAACCGTCAAACACGTAATGATCGAGTACGGCAGATGAGATTGAGTCTGAAATCCGAAATTTCACTAACATACAGGACTAGATAATAAGCAACAAAAATGGTAATATAGAAAGTTAGAAACCAGAATTCAAACCTAGCATAACAACTAGCTAACACAAAACCATTTCTCCCTCTACAACACAAGAGAGAGAAAGTCCTCTCTTTCTCCAAGTGAGAAGGGCCTTCATTCTAACCCCAATATCTTTCATTTCCATATCCGGTTCCATAAGCCACTTTCATTTATCCATCATTTCTTACTTCCATTTGGATAGTGGAATATTACTTGGCAGCAAGTGGTTCATTTCTGCCATTTGGACAACATGCAGTTTGCCATTTTCTTAAATCTTCATTTCTGAAAATTGCATGCACTTATCATATCTCCTCCAATTTGCTTTAATAACAAAGATTTCCTCAAGGACCCTTGACATTAATATCAAGACAGTAAAGCCAGTATAAAGTACCCACCTTTTATTCTTCCTTTTTGTTTGTTTGTTGGTTCGAGACATTAATGGCCTTTTTGATCTTCATGATTCGGCTGCTCAAGATCTCTTTTACTAAAAAAGTATAACACCCTTTCACATCCTTGACTGCTCAACTTCTCGCCTGCTCCTTCAAGTCGTTTTCAATCTCACCCTGTAGCTGATTCATCTTTACTGGGTTGTTGCTGCACTAGTCCTTTGTGCTTTATCCCTTTCCTTCCTGCTTTCTTCTTCCTTTTCATCATGACTCATAGGCATGCAATGGATGAAGATTCGGTGACAGACATGTCACTGCAAAGATCCGAGTTCTCCGAAGAGGAACATGAGTTTAATCCAGCCACTGAAGTTCATCCTCAATTTATCTCAACAACATATGAGAGATCTCTGCGTGTGCTGCTTAATGACTACAATACAAGTCTCTCCTGGGATAATTTCAAATTTTGTTTACTGGGCTATATCTTGGATGATAGATCCTTCACGGATGCGGACATGCAAGCTTACATGGCAGAGAACTGGCCCATGTATACCAGGATCTTGCATTATGACCGAAATTTCTTCATTATTAAGTTTGCATCAAGGGCTGATCTCCTCATGGTCTTAGATAATGGCCCTTATGTGGTTGATGGGGGTCTTCTTATCCTTCGCAGGATGTATGATGACGAAGATCTGGCATTGGATAGCCTTCAAATTGATAGGCTAAGTGTCTGGGTTCGCATGCATGGAGCCGCCATCACATCTTATAATTACCGTGGTGCTAGAGATCTGACAAAGAATTTGGGGGATATTGCAATTATCAAAGAGGACTGTGTCAATCTCAAGAAAGCTACCTACATCCCGGCAAAGGTCTGAATTAATCCGGGAGATCCACTCACTCCAGTTTTTCATTATACTAAAAGAAATGGTAAGTTGGGTAAAATTTGATGCAAGTATAAGTGTGTACATAAATTCTGTACACGTTGTGGTAAGCTTGGTCATCCGGCACAGAGGTGTCTTATGGTGAATGATGCTGTTCTTTTCAATTACTTGGATAATCACTTCATGACTCGGGCCATCAAAAATGATTCCCCAATGCTCATTGATGCTCAGCGTCCATTGTTTTCTAGTGCTATGAGGGCAAATGGGCATAAGCAGAAACAGTCCTCCAGAATCATGGCTAATAAGTACCTACAAATACATCACTTCTATGAACATGTGCCGGAGCATTATATCCAAGATGGCTTTCAAATTATAGAAGTGGATGCACCCCAGCCGGATGCAATGTACCCTGCTATGTTTCCTGAAGATGATGATGAGGAGGATGGGCATAATGATCAAGACCATGAAGACAATCATACTCAAGGTGATGATGGTCAGAATGGGGGTGATGATAATGACAATTCTGGTGGTCATAATAATCCCAATGGTGATCTTGAGCTCAAAATAGGAATCATAGAGATGACATGGCTTTTGATCCGTCACCTTCAATCCGTCTCAATTATGGAGAGTTGCTTGCAAATGGCTTTCCAGACACTACCAGACGGGCTGCTCCTACAGCACAAGAACCTTTATCAGATGAGTCTGACTCTGCATCTTCTGGTACGTATCATTCTGTGCCTCTTGATTCTACTAATTCTATTGGTCCTTATTATGGTCTGTCTAGTTCTTCGGACTCGGAGATGTCAGAGTCTTTTCAGTCTGGGGATGTTTCAGCACACTCCAACATTGGTGCTGAATTTGTTGTTTTAAGTAATCTGAATTTTGAATCTGTTGGTGATGTACCTGTATCACGAAACCCGATTTTTGATGTGATAGTGTCAAACTCTGAATCTGTAACTAGTGATAGTTGGCCTGCCAATCTGCCTACTAGTGTTACTATATTAGAAGAGGATGTTATTTTACCAGCCTCAGATTCTAGTTCTTTCTTAAGATCTTTAATGTACTACTCGGCCTCGGAGGAGAATAATGGATTGCAGACTAGTGAGTCTTTGTCTGAGACGTTCTCCTATATTCCAACAACGGTCACCTCAGCAACCACCTTGTCTGTTAAGAGGAAGGGAGCATGGATGATGTCAGCTCCAGAATTGGAATTTGAGAGTGACTCAGACTCAACTGAGGAGGCTCATTCCTACCACATAAAAGTTCGGAATGTGGTCTCAGATTCGGAGGTTGCCGTGGCATTGGTCCGGAAGAATAAGAGGAAGAAACAGAAGGCTAGAAGAAAGTCAATGGGACCATCTTACAGCTCAATTTCACAGCCATCCAGTTCTAATCCTCAACCACCAATTGATCATCCTTCTCCCGGTGGACTGGCACAGGAAGGACCTTGGAGAACGACAGTTGAGGAAGAGTTCCAGGAACCTGAGAAACGATTGTTGTGTTCCAGAAAGAGGCCATTGGAATCACAGGAGAGTGGTTGGATCAATAACAAGAAAGTCAAGTATGGGATCAGAGACATGACTTGTGTATTGCAGGAGCGAGAGGAGGAGATGCTGAAGTGTCTTGCAGTGGTTGAACCCGATCAACCGCCTTCACCGAAATGAATATCCTCGCTTGGAATTGTAGAGGTATACATAGTGCCTCTACTCAGCATTATGTAGGTAGATTACAAGTCTAAAATTTTGTTCTTAATGGAGACTAAAGCAGGTAGTACCTTAGTAAAATGGCAACAGACCACGCCTTTTGGTCACTCTTTTGTAATAGACTCAATAGGGTCTTCTAGTAGTCTTGCTTTGTTTTGGATGAACGATGTTCAGCTAGATATTATAATACATGATCAGAATGTAATAGTAACGAGGATATGCGAATCCTCAGGGCTTAGTTGGTTAGCTGTTTTCTTGTATGGCCTTCCTAGTAGGCAGGGTCGTGCAGAGTTTTGGTCTAACTTAACCTCTAATCTAAGCTCTTTTAATTACCCTATTGTGTTATTAGAAGACTTTAATCAGGTAGTTTCACAGGAGGATAAATGTGGTGGCAGATTAGTTAGGGATCAAGACACGGGCCCAGTGCGTCAGTTCCTGATGAGGAACAATTTGGACAAACTTCAACATATAGGTTGTTGGTACACCTGGTCCAACAACAGACAACAGGGAGAGAGGATTTATGAAAGACTGGATCGTGCCTTTGTCAACAGACAATGGTTATCTGTGTTCCCCTCGGCTTCAATCAGGAATCTGCCTATTATGGTTTCGGATCATGCTCCAATTTTGGTTCAGGTTAAGCACAAGCAGAAGAAAACCAGACCTCGTTTAAGGTTTGAACAATTCTGGACAAACACACTCACTTTTACAGATTTGGTTCAATCTGCTTGGCGAAATAATAATTTACAGATCACTAACCTCCAAGAGAAATTGTCCTTTAAGCTAAAGTCTAGTCTTATAGGACTGTCTAATTGGAGCAAAGATACCTTTGGTAACCTTGACAAACTAGTCACAAGGTTATCGGATCAGCTGGCAATACTACAATCTCACTGGGAGGAGCACACTGATGATGATACATCATTTCATCTCCTTTCAAAGAAGAAAGAAGAATTAGAGCAAGCATTCCAATATCAACGGGATTACTGGCATCAACGCTCTAAACTGATATGGCCAATACAAGGAGACAAGAACACAAAATAGTTTCACAAATGGGCTTCCAGGAAAAAAGGAAATAACTGGATCACTGAATTTCAGTCCAGTGAAGGTCAGTGGTTATATGACTCAACATAGATATCAGAAGTCCTTTTGAATCACTCCAAGGATCTTTATGATGTGCAACCATCGGGCTCTTCTGGATCCTCAGTCCCACGAACTCAAATAATCCCTGATCCCTTAAACTCCCCGTTTTTCCATCAATTCCTGAACAACATGCAGGAATGCATCACTCTAGACCAAAGAACAGCTCTGGAAAATGCATTTTCCTCCCAAGAGATTTGGCGGGCTCTAAAACAAATGTCATCGTGGAAATCACCAGGCGCAGATGGTATGCCTGCTGAATTTTATAAAACATACAAGCATATTATAGGCTCAGACTTGGACACCTCCATTTTGGAAGCAGTCGAAAACCAGCATTTCCCACTTGAGTGGAATCAGACTAATATCGTCCTTATTCCCAAGCTACCTAATCCAGTCAGCTCAGGGGATTTTAGACCAATAAGTCTCTGCAATGTGAAGTATAAGATTCTCTCGAAGATGATTGCTAACAGACTCAAGCAGGTTATGCCGGAACTCATTGATGAACACCAGAATGGATTTGTTCCAGGGCGAAATATCAGTGAGAATATTTTACTTGCAAAATGAAGTCATAGAATACATCCGGAAAAAGGAGGGTGAGGTAGGAGTTGCAGCAGTCAAATTAGATATGAGCAAGGCCTATGATAGGGTATCATGGCCTTTTCTGAAAGCGGTACTCATAAAGGTTGGTATCCCACAAAGACTCATAAGTCTAATCATGCACTGTGTGACAACGGTGACATACTCCATCCAGTTCAATGGTGAACATTTGTCTTATTTTATTCCCACAGGGGGTCTCAGACATGGATGTCCTTTGTCCCCTTATCTATTCATTTTATGCCAACAAGCTCTTTCCTCGGCAATTAGGGCAGAGCTGCAAGTGTTTCCCGGGCTAGGTATCAAGATTAGTAAGCAGGCGCCACGGATTAGTCATCTTATGTATGCTGATGATAGTCGATTCTTTTTAGAATGTAGGGATACTTCTATACAGGCACTGTCTGGATTACTTGAGGATTATACTTCCTACTCCGGTCAAAGGATCAATCATCACAAATCCTCCATTCTAGTGAGTCAGAATACCTCTACTACCATGAAAACCTTGGTGCAAAACACTTTTCATATTCCAGAAGGTAATTTTCAGAGCAAATATCTTGGTTTATCTCTAGATTTCAAACGGAAAAAAACAGAAATCTTTAGAGAGTTTACAGCTAGGCTTCATAGGAAGTTTGCGGACTGGAAAACAAAGCTTCTTAGCTTTGCTGGGAGAGTTACATTGGCAAAGGCTACTTTATCAGCTATGTTGGTATATCCGATGGGAGTTTTTAAACTCCCAGCCTCCACATTAAAGAAAGCCGATGGAATCATTGCTCGTTTTATATGGAAAGGTGATGATCAGGAGAAAGGTATTCATTGGAAATCTTGGAAGAAAATGGCCAAATCACAGTTCCATGGGGGTTTAGGGCTCAAAGCCACTGCAGAATTTAATCAAGCCCTCCTGGCTAAACATGCTTGGAAAATATTGGCACAACCAACCTCCCTTTTATCCAAAATATACAGAGCAAAATACTGCACCATGGAAAATTTTTCTCATCAGACTCCACCCTCTAATGCCACATGGGGATATAAGAGTGTTCCCTGGGGAGCAAAACTTCTTCAAAACAACATAAAATAGAAGGTTATTAGTGGTAGAGATATCCCGATTACTAGTAACTGGATTCCCGGAGTCATCAATCCTATACAGAGCAATTCCTTTTTGGCTCAGCATTCCAATCTGATGGTTAGTGATCTTTTCAGACCGAATGGACAATGGAAAATGTCTGTCCTCCAGTCCTTTTTTCAAGACCAGTATATTCCCTATATAACTGATATATATGTAGATCCGGCAAGGCACATGCAACCAAATGTACTCTTGTGGCAAAAGACAGATCATGGTTTCTATACGGTCCAATCAGGGTATCATGAAGCTTTAAATCGAGATTCTCTCAGCTTCCCTGCTCAAGCAAACCAACAGGTTCCTTCACAAATTGAAAGCTTGGCTTGGAAGAAGTTGTGAAATGCTAAAGTGCAAGCCAAACATAAATTCCTTTTTTGGAGAGCATCACTCAATGCCTTATCTTCCAAACAAGAACTCGTGAGAAGAGGAATACAGGTTGATACTTCATGTCCAAGGTGCTTTACAGGATTGGAAGACAATCTTTATCTTTTCTTCAACTGTCCAATCTCTCAAGCAGTCTGGAGCTTTGCATAATCTAATTTCCAATCAATTCTAAATGGCTCAATGCCCTCCATACTGGATTGGTTTATCTCATAGATTCAAACTCAACCATCTTCAGATGACATTGACCTCTTCCTCTTAATCTTCTGGCGTATTTGGTTAGACAGAAATGATAAGGTGTGGAGAAGTCATACAATCGATCATGTCACCTCATGGAGATTAATCCAACAGGACCTTAAGCAACACCAGGTATTGCTGTCCAGACTAAGGTCACATACGGATTCGATTTCACCTCCCCTTCCGCTCGAAGAACTATTGATCCATTAGAACTTACTTTTGATGCATCCTTCAATCCTTATAACAAAAAGGCAGCAGGAGCCTGGAGAATTATCTCTTCTACGGGGATGCTAATGCAGATAAAGTCAGTTTCCATAACTTCACTGTCCTCTTTGCAACCAGAAGCCACTACCTGCTTACAGGCATTACAAGATGCATCATCTTTGAGAATTCAAAGACTCAACATCTACACAGACTGTGAACTCTTGACCACCGATCAGGAAATCTCTAAGTTTCTGAGTGAAGCTCAGGAAATAATAGCCAATATACGTACCCTAATGTCTATTTTTCGGAATTGTTCATTGTTAAAGGTCAACCGGACGGTAATTCAGGATCTACACAATTTAGCCTATGCAAAAATGAGATGCAATAGTTTAGGTAACCCTTAATTAATACATGTACCTATTCAAAAAAAAAAACAACTAGCTAACACAAAAGATATTTTACGAACGATAGCATACAAAACCCACATGCTCAACAATTATGGTTACCAAACGTTGGTTTCCATTAGTTTTTCCCAAAAATGAATGATCTTGTCCTGCATAAATTGCGTTCCGACACAATTTCTTTTTCTTACAGAAACACATGTTAAATGCTTTTGGACCATGCATTCCTATAAACTAATAAATAATGAAATTTCCAAGAGGGAAGAGGTATAGATGGATGATATCACGAGTATTAGTTTGGACCAAAAAAAAAAAAAGATCTTGAACAGTCTAAACGACTTCAAATAAAGTGGACTTCATTTACTCACCTTAATTGAATAGATCTCTGAATTCTAAAAATTTTGATGAACAAAAAATTAACAGTTTTTCAATAGCTCAGTTGTATATAAACACTAATTGAACGTAAACATAATCGTGCTGTATGGGTTGCATGTTGTGCATAATTTTTACCTAGGCTTCATATAGCGGATAAACTAGCATTAATCATCTTGGTTCTACAATTATCACAATCGAAATAGGAGTTTTGTTAGAAAAAAAAAAAAAGAAAACTCTCCTTTAACAGTCGAAATAAGAGTTTTGTTAAAAAAAAGAAATATGTCAAAAGTGAATGCTTTTCTTCTTTTAAACAATCTATTTTAAAGAACCATAAATGGGGTAATAATAATAGATTTATAGAGATCACATAAAACGTGGACACAAAAGCAGGAGGCACCCAAGTGTTGGCCGACGAATGTAGTATTTGAGAAGGACGTAAATAATTGAAAATAGTACAGTACTAATTCTTTTCCGTACAAACCGACCTAAACAATATACTAATAATAATAAAAACATGGTTGATAAAGAAATACGTGAGAAAGAAAGCATTAGTGATTTTGAAAATAGAGTTTTTGTTTGCATCTCTATATGCGAAAGCAAAACTGTAACCGAGTGAATACGACGCCATATTCATACGCTAAATGTGGGTGGGCCGTGGGCTATTAACAGCCACCCACGCATGTGAACCCCGTCGGCCCGTCACTTTACAAGCAAGTTCGTCAAACATGAATTATACCCGTCCTCTCATGCATTAAATGTGAGTGAAACCATTAATCGACGCGTCTATGACAACCCGAGAAATAATATGATTATCCTACAAATACGATAACAAGGAAAAAAAGAAAGAAAAAGGGGTGAATTGGTAAAAGGGAGGAGGATTTCTATTAGGGATGAAGAAAATGTTTTACAAATTACTCCCTCCATCCCATATTTATTGTTTACTTTGGCAAAAAAATTTTATTTCAAAATTATTGTCCAATTTAACTTTCTATTGAGTAAGTTACACTTTGTCATTTAATTTAGTGATTGGAAACCGTTTTATCCACACACACCACACAGTAGAAGTGAGCACAATGCAAATTGCAGCAAAACTAAGCCCATATTCTGACGGCTCAAAACCGCGGTAAGGACAAGGTGGCCGGTGGAGTCGGAAACAAATACGGGGAAGAAATCTTTTCGATGAATGTGGGGAACTCATAGTTCCAATCGATAATGAATTTATAGAGTAGTTTGAGGATAGATGGAATAGAAGAAGCCACCATCCATTCGGCAATCTAAACTGTAGGGAGGAGATTTCCATTGGTTTTCCATTGCCTGGTGAGGAGTACCTTGGCCTCCTTGATCGATAAAGAATGTCAGTAGTTGCCGGCGACTAATTACTTGATGAGAATGAAAAATAGAGACTTGGATTTGGGTATATCCGGAAGGGGTATATGCGGAAGTTTTTAGCCAAAATATAGTTAAGTTTGACTAAAAATAAATTCTTTAATTTTGGCTAAATTGGACAATAATTTTAAGATGAATGGATTAGTATTTAAGCGCATGTTACACAATAAATTGTAAAAAATCAAAATTAATTTCTTTATTTCTTTTTT